AGAGCAACATTAGATTTTGCTTTCCTAAGTTCAGTTTAAACTAATTAATGTTCGAAAGTGAGCAATTTAAAGCAGTCCTAAACTCGAATCGCTCGAATTCAAACACATGCAATAAAAGTCCTGAACCATATGTTCAAAAGGTAGCATTCGCTCACTGCCTATAATCTCGTAATTCAATATTATCCATCCACAAAAATGATTCGACAAGATATTGTTCGCATATGTGCGAATAAATTTTTTTTTGCAATCATATTGTCTTGATGCGATTCGTCTGCATACAACAATAAGACTACTAATATCAAAAACATGAACGAACATTTTCGACTGTTATAAACGAACTCAATTTGAAACTCCTCACTCAGTCGTCAGTCAGTTAGTTTACCTCACGGTACAATTACTAATTGGTTTTTTGAGAGCAACATTTTGTCTCATCTCGGCTTTCACTAGTTTCTCATCCATTATTGGGGATCACAGCAACTGCAGTGATGTTCTCTATCTAATTTTAAGCTCGGTTTTTGTCCAAATATCCAATTTTCATATGAGCATATCATGAGTTCAGAACATTTTGAGGATCGTATAGAGTTGATAGGGTGATAAAGTCTATTCCGTAATGATAACTACTTAGTCCATAAGTCCATAACTCTGCTTTTATTCATTCCAAATGATACTGTGGATTTGAATGAGTGTTCATTAAGTGTGCTGATCGCTAAGATCAACTTGCGCACAAGCGATTTACTACCAAGGATGGATAAGTTGTAAGCAACTAAAATTTGATGTAATTGATGGATGATGATGATTTGAAGGTGAAAAAGCTGTCGGATGAGAAGACGGCTCTGTTCGGAACTCTCGAACAAGAGAAGGCTAAACTGGTCGAATCCGAGGAGCGATACAACAAGTTGAGTGCAGCTAAAGCCGATCTCGAACGACAACTGAACGAGCTGAGCGAACGAATCGCCGAGATGGAGGACCGCCAAGGAGATATGGACCGAAAACGCAAGAAGGACGAGAGTGAAATCAACGAGTTGAAACGAAAGAATAATGTTCGTTCGTTTCAATAGCTTTTATGCATCTGCATTGATATACTAACAAACTGTTCCTTCATTGAAACTTTTCCTGCAAATGATGCTCGAATTCCTTTAGCTGTTGAGGTTGAACAACCACGTAAGCATGATTCATCTTATTCTATGCACTTAAGACATTCTTGATATTTCGGTCAGAAGTGGCTGTTTGGCTGCATAACAAGCGATTTTATCCACTCGAAACCTATTGTTTGTAACTGTTCTTGACTGTTCAAATGAAAAGAATCTCACAATCTCAATAAGTATTTGTGAATAGATTACCAAATTCAGGAATTGGAAATGTCATTGCGAAGAGCTGAAACCGAGAAGCAAGCACGTGAGCAAAATATTCGTTCGTTACAAGACGAAATGGCTAATCAAGATGAAAGTCTTGCAAAAACCAACAAAGAAAAGAAACACCAGGAAGAAGTATGCTCACTCATCTTATCGCTCATTCATCCATTCAATCCCCAGTTGTTTCTTCAATATATTCTTATTATCAGCGACAAAATTGCACAAAATTCATTTCTTATAGATTTCGATTAGATGAAAACGATTGAATTGTGTTGCTGTGGTCAGTACATATCTTTCGAATGAAATGTGATTGATTCTGTTATAGATGAATCGTAAATTGATGGAAGATCTTCAAGCAGAAGAGGACAAAGTGAACTATTTGAACAAATTGAAGAGTAAACTCGAACAACAACTCGATGATGTACGTTCGTTTGAGTTGGTTCCATCTAATGATAAGAACAGTGATAAACCTGAGTTTTTTCAATGATAAGGTGATAAGCTGTCCTATCAATTGGGGCGATCTGCGATCAAATGATCTCGGAAATTTGATCAAATAACCTTGTTTTTTGCTCTTCAATGAACATCAGGTATCTTTGTGAACCGTTATTGTTGCGTAATTTCGGTTCCTGACGATTACTTTAAGAATACAGGTCAATACCAATTAATTATTCTGTTATGAGTTCAAATCCATCGCATTAGCCATCCTTTAACAGTCATTTTTGAATGAAATAATAAGTGATGAACTTTGAAATTCTTATAAATGAATCGCAAATGCTGATTCCACTGCTTCAGATGGAAGAAACAGTTTGAACGAGACAAACGAGCCCGTCAGGATCTGGAGAAAGCCAAACGAAAGGTTGAAGGTGAGCTGAAAGTTTCGATGGAGAACGTCGACGAAATCAACAAGCAAAAGCACGACATCGAACAGAATCTGAAGAAGAAAGAGGCCGATCTGATGATGACATCGAGTAAACTCGAAGAGGAGGCCGCTCTTGTCAGCAAACTTCAGAAGCAAATCAAAGAGTTGGAGACACGTATCGTTGAACTAGAAGAGGATCTGGAGCAAGAGCGTCAGTCACGCTCCAAATCGGATCGTAACCGCTCGGAGCTTCAACGTGAACTGGACGAACTGGGCGAACGTCTCGAAGAACAAGGCGGTGCCACGGCTGCACAAATTGAGCTGAACAAGAAACGTGAGGCGGAAATGGCGAAGCTGAAACGCGATTTGGAAGAAATGAATATGAATAACGAGATGCAAATCGCATCGTTGCGTAAGAAACACAACGATGCAATCGCTGAGTTGAGCGATCAGCTCGAGCAATTGCAGAAGATGAAGGCAAAAAGTGATAAAGACCGAGCACAGCTATTGCGAGACGTTGAAGAGGCGCACTCAAGTGCCGACTCAGAATGCCGAGCCAAGCAAGAGTTCGAAAAACAAGCGAAACTTGTCGAAATGCAATACTCTGAACTACAAGCCAAATCCGATGAACAGGTTACTCGATTTATCTGCTCACTTATTCAATAATTTACTTTTATCATTTAATCCGTGATTATTACAGTAATCCGTGATTTGTCTGTTTGATCCATCGAAAATTGTTATCATTATCACTATCGTTATCATGTTTTGTTGAGAATATCTTCTCATTGTTCGATCCAATATGATCAATGCATCATGACAGTTCAGGTTCGTCTTATTAACGACTTGACGTCGTTGAAGAGTCGTCTCACGAACGAAAACGGTGATATGACACGCCAAATTGAGGACCTCGAGAACCAGGTAGGTAGTAATACCAATAAGAAATTTGAGTGTGAATGGATTTTTGATCCCGAGGAGATATGCTCAAATAGGTGTTCTTTGGATCCTTTCCTAATCTTGAGCTTGTCCTTGTCCCTGTATAAACATCATGAAATTTGATCAACCTTATTATTTGATTGCCTTTCTGATAATCTGTCCTNCTTGAAGAAGCCAGACATACGGCCGAAGAAGAAGCACGGTATGTTTGATTGTTCTGTCAAACTCAAACGAAATAGTTCGATTTTATCGCTTCTCTCATTTACCATTTCGGAAAACTGCGCAACTAATGCGAATTGATGCATGTCTCTGTGAGATAAACGAGAAGAATTATTTCTCATTTAACGATTTTACAGCGAGCGACAGACTTTGGCCGCTCAAGTGAAGAATCTTGAACATGAGAACGATAATCTGAGAGTTCATGGCGATGAAGAGGCTGAGGTTTGTCGTTATCACTATATCTTAATCCACAGCATCTTCAATTGTTTTTGTTCATATTTCAGCGCTAACAGTGAGGCTACGAAATACATTATTGATGTAATGGTATCGCATGAGTTTCAAGCGTGGTTTCAAAACTCTGAACATGCTGATGATGGTTTCAGGGTAAAGCCGAATGTCTGCGACAGATGAGCAAATTGAACGCCGAAATTCAACAGTGGAAGGCACGTTTCGAGGGTGAGGGCATCGCAAAACTCGAAGAAATCGAAGAGAACAAGTAGAATTTTCGCATTTCAATCTTTGATTATTACCAGTCTTTCTCATTCGTCGTCATATTATCATTCTCATGATAACATGCTCATAGCACTATTCGAGAGCAATAGGTGCTACAGAATTATTTGAATTGTGCAAATGGTAACCGAATCAAATCGCTCACTTTTCAGTTCGGTCATCAAATTTTCATTAGTTTCTAATATTTGATCAGAATTCATTTGCCGGTAGTATTCATCTACAAACAAATAACTTGTGTGATTGATTTG